GATCATCGATTCCCTACTTGCGTCTGCTTGCATTTGGTGAGAGTATGAAAAGTGCAAAATATGAAATCAACCCGACGCGTTTTAATATGTGCGCCTTTATTTGGAAAATTTTCACAAATGCATTGGAGGTAAAAAAAAATCAACATGTGAAAAATTGTTATAAATTTAAGCCTATAACACGTAAAATGATGTGAGGATTCCATATCTGGTCGCAAAATTCAAATCGGAGAACATTTGACTCCTGGTTTGGCCAAAAACTGTCCAATTTTGCCCAAATTGGATATTTTGCCTATTTTCGACATATTTTTTTGCCAAAACAGGGGTCAAATGCTCTCCGATTTGAATGTTACGACCAGATTTGGAATCCTCTCATCATTTTACGTATTACAGGCCCAAATTAGTAACGAGTTTTACATTTTCATTTTTGACCTCCAATGCATTTTTGAAATTTTTCAAAGTAAAAGCGCACATAGTAAAACGCGTCGGAATGATTTCATATTTTGCAGTTTCCATACTCTTACCAAATGCAACCAGATGCAGGAAAGGAACCGATGATCCCAGACAAAAGTGTTTTTTTACGAGCCCTAAAATAATCCCTCCTCAAAATTTCGCGTATCGCAAAAAATGTGGTTTAAAATGGCAGATATATTTCTCATTTTCTAAGAGCGTGATTCATCTGCTTTCGTTTGAGCCCTATATCACATCTCTAGCTTCCGTAGTTTTTGCGCTAGAGGTTTTGGCCACATCTGAATTCGAGATGGACCTGTGTGCCCCCCCCCTCCCCGCCCACCTCCCCATCGGGCCCAGCTCGGTAGTGACCTCTCCTTGAATTTGACATGGACTCGACTAAGGCTCAACGCCATCTAGTTACGTCTGGAGATCCTAATAAGATCCACTGTACGTGCGTGAAGATAGCGACGTATTCAACGACGGATTCAGCGTCAGATTTGGAATTCGCTGAAAACACGCAATCAGGTCAAGTACGACACGCTGATTCCAAAAATGGACTTAAAACACATTTTTAAGGTCATCTTCAGGCCGGTCAAATTTGAGGTCAAAGGACGGGTTACCCAATAACGTCCCGAATTATGGGCGCAAGTGGACCAAAAGTGGTCATACATGATAGCTCGATACCTTGGGCAGCCTCCGTGACCATGACCTTGACCTTGACCTTTGACCTTCAAGGTCAAATTTGAGGTCAAAGGACGGGATACCGGATAACATCCCGAATTATGGGCGCCAGAGGACCAAAAGTGGTCATACATGATAGCTCGTCACCGTTGGCAGCCTCCGTGACCATGACCTTGACCTTAACCTTTGACCTTCAAGGTCAAATTTGAGTTCAAACGACGGGGTACCGGATAACGTCTCGAATTTTATGGAAGGAGCGGGCTAAAAACGGTCCCAAACGACGGCCAGCCTCGTTGGCTAGCCTCCGCTGCCCTGACCTTGGCTCTAGCCCTTGACCTTCATGGTCAAACACCAGGTCAAAGATAGGCACCATTTCCCAAAGAAAGAGTAGGGCGAAATGTAAAGAAGTTGATCTGCCACGTCTCAAGCAACCATGCCAGTGGATACTTGGCCGCCAAGGCTACATTTTATTTTCTTGACCTTGACCCTAATGTTTGACCTTAGAGGTCAAACTTTAGGTCAAAGGACGGGTACCGGATAACATCCCGAATTATGGGCGCAAGAAGACCAAAATGGGTCAAACGCGATAGCTCGTCACCGTGGGCAGCCTCCGTTACCATTAACTTGACCTTGACCTTTGACCTTCAAGGTCAACTTTGAGGTCAAAGGACGGGGTACCTGATAACATCCCGAATTATGGGCTCAAGCCTCAAGAGGACCAAAAGTGGTCATACATGATAGTTCGTCACCGTGGGCAGCCTCCGTGACCATGACCTTTTTTTATAAATTTAGTCTGAACTATTACTGAATGGGCGGATTTGAGGAATCAGAGCCCGCACTAAGCATAGCTTGTTGTGCTGACCCTGACCCCACCACCCGATCGCGCAATTCCAGTTGTATGGCAGAATTTTGTCCGAACGTTTAACGTGCCCTCACGACTGGACACGGTCCCCTCCGCTCACTCACGTTACCTGGCTTCTGTGCGGTCCCTGCCACAGACACGCACGCCATTACACGTAGGAGCTAAATGTGGCCGCCCGCACCGGGGCTTGAACCGGGCTCTCACTTCCGGCTAAGCGTCGAATTCCGGCGCTTTTATCCACTCGGCCACGGAGAGGACCTTGACCTTGACCTTTGACCGTCAAGGTCAGATTTGAGGTCAAAGGACGGGATACCGGATAACATCCCGAATTATGGGCGCAAGAGGACCAAAAGTGGTCATACATGATAGCTCGTCACCGTGGGCAGCCTCCGTGACCATGACCTTGACCTTAACCTTTGACCTTCAAGGTCAAATTTGAGTTCAAACGACGGGGTACCGGATAACGTCTCGAACTTATGGAAGGAGCGGGCTAAAAACGGTCCCAAACGACGGCCAGCCTCGTTGGCTAGCCGCCGCTAGCCGGTCAAGGGCTGACCTTGGCTCTAGCCCTTGACCTTCATGGTCAAACACCAGGTCAAAGATAGGCACCATTTCCCAAAGAAAGAGTAGGGCGAAATGTGAAGAAGTTGATCTGCCACGTCTCAAGCAACCATGCCAGTGGATATTTGGCCGCCAGGGCTACATTTTATTCGGCTTGACCTTGACCCTAATAGAGTTTGACCTTAGAGGTCAAACTCTAGGTCAAAGGACGGGGTACCGGATAACATCCGGAATTATGGGCGCAAGAGGACCAAAATGGGTCAAACCCAGTAAACATGACGACGTCGGCCCGACGTCGGGCCGAGGCTCGGCCCGACGTCGGCCCAACGTCGGTTCAACCTAGGCCCGACATCGGCTGGACGTCGGATATGCCCGCATGTTCCGACGTCCAGCCGAAGTCCAGCCGACGTCGAGCCGACGTCGGGCCGAGATCGTTTGCCGAGGTTGACGAGATCGTTTGTCGTTGGACCGACGGGGCCGACGTCGGCATGTTTATTGGGACAACGCGCCAAAAATATCAACCGGCGGCGGGATTCGAGCCCCCAGTCGCCGACGTCGGCATGTTTACTGGGACAACACGCCAAAAGCATCAGCCGGCGATGGGATTCGAACCCAGTGTCACTCAAACGCGAGGTTAGTGCGCTAACCACTACACCACGCATCCAGCTAACAAATTTGGTTTGTTTTGTTGGGTTATGCCCTTTCGGTCTGACAAGACCATTTCAGAGCCGGAAGGATCATAGGATGGAGACATTGGTCTTCTTGGCGAGCACCCTGGGTCCAGTTCATATAGAGTCCCTGGTCCCATTGCTGTTACGTGACACTTATTGGAAAGGGGCAAGGGCGACCCCACAATGGATTCATATAGCCAATCTTACACACCTGCACCAACGTTTCCCAAAGTGTCCCTTTGATAAGTGGCACTTTGGCAAAGTGACACTTGCCGACTGGCCTTTCTATATGAACTGGGCCCGGCCCTGGTGAGTTGCCGGGGCTGAGCCTAACCAAAGGATAGGCCGAGCAGCCCCCAAGCACTCACCGCACCCGGCTACGGGCGAGCTCGGCTTACGGGCAATCCCAAATGGGATAAAGTTTCCCGTCCAGTCCGGATCAGGGGGCTGCGGGCTGCGGCGTGGAGGAAGATTTGAGTTTCCTGAGGATTTTTTGAATACAGAAGCTCTTTATGAAACATGAAACATGTATTTTATATTATTTTAACGGTCAAAACAGCGGCCGATGTCGGTCCGACGTCGCCCTGACGTCGGCCCGACGTCGGCTGGACCTCAGCAATTGATCTCGGTCCGATGTCGGCCCGACGTCGGCTGGACCTCGGCTGGACGTCGGAACATGCGGGCATATCCGACATCCAGCCGACGTCGTGCCGAGGTTGGACCGACGTCGGGCCGACGTCGGCATGCCGATGCCGAGTTGCCGACGTCACCCCGACGTCGGCCGACGTCGGGCCGACGTCGGCATGTTTACTGGGAACATAATAGCTCCTCACCGTGGGCAGCCTCCGTGACCATGACCTTGACCTTAACCTTTGACCTTCAAGGTCAAATGTGAGGCCAAACGACGGGGTACCGGATAACGACTCAAATTTATGGAAGGAGCGGGCTAAAAACGATCCCAAACGACGGCCAGCCTCGTTGGCTATCCTCCGCTACCCTGACCTTAGCTCTAGCTAATGTTATGGTGGGATGGTCACTTAGCCGAAATTAAGCCGAAATTAGCATTAATGTCTTTGACACTGCGTACGCCAAAACCCTAAATGTGAGCGTCCTCAATTTTGATCTTTGCTTTGGCCTGACCTTGATCTGTCTATGACGTCATGAAAACACCTCCACAGTCCACGGACCCACTATTGCTATCAGACCTTTTTGTCGGCTCTCGTTCACTGGTATGAATTTAGGCTGGCGGTTCTGACCATTGAGTTCAATGTTCTGAAAATTGGCCTTGTACTGAAAGCTGGTCGTCCTATCAGGCCAGATCGCTGGTTACAGGTGCGTGCATGTGGCCACTGGCCGACGATTTCCCAGGGCCGCCCGCCCTCATGACGCAGTTAGTGTTTTCTCTCGTTCGTTCTTCGTCCCTTCTTCGGATTCTCTGTTTGGCTGTTGTTGGCCGTACCTTGGCCGTACCTACGCAGCTAATTTTACTTGTGCTGTGTGGTTGGACAAGGAGCCGCACTCGAACGGTGCGACGACGAGTTGGGAAATTGGGTAAGAAAGGAACTGGGACGTTGTATGGGGATGGTGGGTGGTGACGCTTTCTTCTCACACAAATGCCGAGCCGACCGCCGGCCGTCGGCTATAGCCGCAAACTGAGGTCTCGCGACCCTCCGTCCTTATGTGTCCCCTCCTGATCGTTTCGTGCCTACTCTTCCCCTCCCCGCGTCTCCTCCCACCCGGCTTCACTGCCGCCGCCGCGCGTCCTTAGTACTCCCTTCCAAGGCCCACTAATCTTTATTAGGTGTGCCATAATGACTATTAGAAACACTGTAACGTCCTGGTTTTCGCAGATCGTTGTTCATCATCATTACACATGAGAAATATAGGTACTGCATGAGACGAGGAACGTTCGACACGGAGAAGCTCCAAATGTCATCTCTGCTCTCCCCGAAACGTACCTCCCGCACTTACCAACACGCTATAGCGACTGAGTGTACACATTAGTTACTTCCACAAGGAACAACACTGTTTATGAATAGTGAATACGAGTATGTGAGGACGATACACCAGACTAATATTCGCTCGGTTCTACGCTAAGATGCCCTCACGGCAGGGTTGAAAAACACTCGGCAGCCTTGGAAGTGACCGCCCCAGCTCGAGACCAAATGTTCAAATGAATAGATTAGTTTCCCTTCAACCGTTCTTAGGTGCTGTGAAAAGGGTGAGCACGCAGTGTTTGAGGCTTTCCTGCGCCTTCAGTTTGGTGCATGGCTTCCAGTGTTTTGGTTCGTATGTGTAAGGACATTTTAAAGTTTTGTCCACGACGCGGTTCCACAGCGCTGACATCTCCTTGGCGGGCACCTGGTGGGCGCCAACCAGCATGCGGTACAGACACGTGTCCGTCAGTGGCACCGGGTAGGTGAAAAACTCCGGCGCTCGCACGCGCCGCACGGCCGCCATCTTGGCGCCGATGCCGGTGACGGTGACGTCCTCGATGAAGAAGTAGGGCCTCTCCAGTACGCGCTGCCGCAGCTCGCGCACGCTGTCTCCCGTGACGAGATACAGTGGACCACTCGTGTACCGCGGGTACTTGGTCTTCTCCCAAATCTTAGGGCTCACATAGTATCTAGATTCTTTGTCACGGTTCGGCATTGGATTGTAAATGACATTTCCAAAAATGGTACGTCGCGCATCACGATGCTCGTCAATGAACGATTCCAGATTTCTGATGTTCAGGAACACGTCGTCATCGACCTTGAGCACGAACTTCGCCGCACCGCAGTGCACGTCAAACCATTCCAGGCTGGCCAGCGTTTTGAGAGTGAGGTTGTTGTAGTGATCGACGAAGTTGGCCTGGATGATGTCACCGTAGAGCGACTGCTCGTACTCGACGCCCTTCTGGAGGGCCGGGTCGTCGGTGCGAGCCACCACGAAGCCCATGACGATGTCGTCCCGGAAGTTGGCCGGCCGCGCCCACGTGTGGCGGATGACGCTGCGCTGGTTGGAGTTTTGCAGCGCACTCTGCACCAGGATGACCAGCTTCACGTTCTGGCCGCCGTCCGGACACAGTGCGCTGTTCTCCAGGTGGAAGCCCGGCTCGCCATAGTCCCTGACTAGCGGCACGTGCTCTGTCCGCCGGTTGGACCCGTCCGGATCTGCCGGTACGTAGCGGCAATCAACGGAGTGGCTGAACGGGGCATGATACATACACACCAACTAACAGACCAGTACCTGTAGTAAAAATGGTTTGCTTATTTAAATTTATTTAAACTAGAGGTACAGTTTTACGCGATAACTGTGTGTTTTGATTTAATGTGCTTTACAGATGCATTCGTTTAAATGAGTTACCTGTACTTTGATGCTATATTTGGGAGGTTTGGGTTGTTGTTTTTAATTGAACTGTAAGGTACAATGGTGATAGATGTGGGATATTCAAGCCTTTTGCATGTTAGGCTCTTCTTAAACTCAACCCTACCCCTACCCTACCCAACCTTACCCTACCCTATCCCTTTGCTTATGTTTGCTTATTTAAATTTATTTAAATGGTTTCCTTAAAAATGGTTATCTTAAAAAAAATGGTTCTCGTTTGAATGTGGATCGACCATGATTGCAAAGTAAATGCATAGTACATACAGTAGGCGCCATCAAGTACCACGTTTTACCGCACTTTTCCGCATAGATACATAGGGACTTGTCTGCATAGAACGGCTTAATGATGGAAAATTTTCAGACTGATGAAGCAGGATTTAAAGCTAGGACCCTATCTGGTTAATTTTTCTTCCTTACCCAGAGTCAATCTACTGTAAGATAATTAGACGTGAGTCATTCTGGTTCGAAAAAAAATGTTGCTTAGTACCTATACCGCAATAGAAGGTGTGAAGTAAAGAGAAAGAGAGAGAGAGAGAGAGAGAGAGAGAGAGAGAGAGAGAGAGAGAGAGGGGGGGGGGGGAGGGAGGGAGAGCAAACCATCTCAGATATCTTCCGTAGAATCTGAGTAGAAATCGTTAAATAATACTGAATATTTGTTTGCATTTTATGCTGTTCAGTTAGTTGCCTACGCCTTTGTTGGTAGCTTTTAGGTACTAACCTGATATCTTGAGCCGAACTTGCAGCCGGTCCCATGGATGGGCCGACACTTGGCACTCGTATATTCCTGAATCTTCCACTGAGACGTTGGTTATTTTCAAATTCCATGTCTGAAACCAATGCACTGGTTAGATCAGTTGCCGAAAACGAAACAGTGGATCTCGGAGCAAACTGCAGATTAGGATCCACGGTCCCACCGGATCCAGCGTGAAAGAATTTACCCTGGATCTATGATCTCTCAGGATCTGATGATAAACCAAGAACATGGATCTATGATCTGAGTGGATCCCGCCATGCAGAGCATTTGGAAACAGGTTTCCAAATGTTTCAAAGTCAATAAGTGCCACAAAACCATGGAGTATAACGTGCAATCACATAAAATCACTAAAACAGAAAGTTTGTGAGTTGCAACAAGTGATTTTTGGGGGATTTCTGTGTTGACAAAAAAAAATGAAGATCTATGATCTCAATGGATCTCAAGCAAGAAAATAGGCTCCGATCTATGATACCCACGGATCTTTCGATAAATCAAAGAGCTGGCTCTATGATCCCATCGGATCCGAGTTCAGGATCCGTGGGATCAGATCCCAGATCCATTTTCTCGGATTCATGCACATGTCTGGAAAATATGCATAAGGCGATAACCGTCTTCACTCCCTTCCCGCGCTGCAACTTGCACGGGGCTGATAGGATCTGAATGGCGGCTGCAAGTGGCTTGTGCCTAAAGCCCAACACTGAACTGAACAGTAACTATAGAAGGTAGTACATTTATGCAGTGCGATTCATTATATTGAAAACGTCATTTCCATTTCAGTTGGCATTACAGTGAAAAGGTGTTATGCCCCACAAAGGAAGACCTGTCGACCTACATTGGTGAAGGTGTTGAGCCTGGCAGAGAGCCGGTCATCCTGTGTGAACGTCCAGTCCTGGACGGTCAGAAGGCGACGGGTCGCCTTGAACAGCCAGGACACCTACGGGACAGACGACGGAGGGCAGGGTTTGTCACGGGGCTTTGAGAGCAGACGAAGGGAGCCGAGTCGGTCATCGGGTGACAGACTCGGTCCTCTCGGCTCTCAGGGCCAACATGGCGACGGCGACACAGTGACACACCCGTGATAATTGCACGGGTAATCAGCCTACCATCGGCTCTTGAAATATGAGAACAGTATGGGAACACGAACGGCGCGCTGATACGCTGTTTCGAAGAAGCGTACCTATTCAAGGGAAAGATATCGATGGCGGCTGAACCGGTGAGGTGTTTACAACACAAGAAAATAAACCGGTGAATTGTCAACATTTGAGCCCTGAAAACCAAAACTGCCCACCAAATCAGAGGAGTTGGCAGTCGCGGTCGTGTGTTGCAAATAAAGGTATAAACTAGGTTCTGTCTCACCTTATAGTCGGAGGGCTTCTGGAGCTGGCAGGGCAGCAGGACCGTCTCGCCGGGCGAGGCCACCACCTGGGTGTTATTCTTGGAGAGGAAGTGCGTGTTGGCGCTCGGCGCCGACTCGCACACGTCGAACACTGGCTGGCATTTCTCCTCTGAAAGTGGGTCCAGCGTCAGCGACCGATCCGGTAGTTACCCCCGATGTTGTACAGCCCACCGCTAGAGTAATGTGTGGTTTTACCAATCTCAACGGATGGCTTTGACTGGCGATTTTTTTAATGCGGAGTGATCGAAAAGAAAATGTCAATAGATAAAGTTACAGCTGCAAGGGTGACGATACATCTAAGCTACATTCAAAGTTTCATTGTAGTCTCGCTAGTCGTTCCTAAGCTTCAGAAGCAGAACATACCTCTGACTGAAATCGCACATTACTTCTGCTGTGGACTGTACATACTCAGACTGCGCGATCGAGAGCGAGGAACTCTTCTATCAGCCTCCTGCTGGATGAGGGTCTGCGCGGGATAGGAGGCCAGCTGATTGGGCTAAAGCCAAAATTATTTGACCGATGAACCATGTAAGACGTAAGGTCCAACGTTTTATGTTGACCTCTGATACACCTATGCCTAACTGATCACTGACCACCATTTGCAACCTGTGCTCTTCTTGCTGGGTAGCTGTTATAATTCATAATACGTGGACGTAGCTCGTGCAGCGATGATAAAATGCGTTTCATGTCAGCTGTGCTCTGCGCGGCGACAAGTATCACCAATGCCTCATGGACTGTGTGGTCCGGTCCGAGTGCTGACTGCTGACCCCTTTCTCTGGGCTGAGGAGCTCCTGACGTTTTAAAATCTCCCGTTCTCTGCTCATAAGAAGTACCTACGCACTTTTACGCTTTATTGTAAACCAAGAACGCTGAAGCCCAATTGATGACTTTCACCTTGATTCACATTGACTTTCACTTATTGTCTTTTCTTTAATAAAGATAGCTGGTCCGTCAGGGACTCAAGATAGCTGGACTCTTAATTAAATAAAATAAAAAACTGTAGAAGTTTAATAACGAAAAAGGATTGCGTGAGACGCTGTCTCTCCACCCGGGCACCGGGGTCCGAGTGGGGTCAATGTGCCGAGGCCGTGACACGTCACTCACGATCACTACCTACAACGCAAACCACTGACCCCCAACCGCGTTCAGTATGGAATCAGGGTGCGCCCGGTCGGTCGGGGCGGTGACACGTCACCTGAGAGCGCAGCGTCGAGCAGCAGCAGCAGCAGCGGCAGCGGCGGCCGCCGGCAGAGCATCGCGGCGGTCCGGCAGCGCAGTCACGGCGGCACTGCGCCCGGCCGGCGAGCGGCCAACGGTCCCGGCCGGCCGGCCTAACGGTGCGCGCCGCCGGCGACCCGGTGCGCGCCGCCCGCCGCCCGGCCCGCTACTGACACGTGGCCGCACTACGGCGGTGTCCGGACAAATTGCCGAAAGGCGATTTGGCGAATGTCATTTTGCCGATGTGCTTTTTGCCGACGTGTCAAGAAGTCGAAATGCTAAAAGCCGAAATGTCATTTGCCGACATGCCTTTTTGCCGAAATGCCAATTTGCCGAAATGCTTATTAGCCGAAACCTAAAGTTGCTGAACTGCGATTTCCCGAAATGTCGATTATAGTTATAAGTCCATTTTTTTCAAAAGGCGCACGGCCCGAAGCATGATTTTGGAACAAGCACGAAGGCGCGGATCCAGCGGGGGGCGGCGGGGGTGGCCGCTCCCCCCCCCCCCCACCCTCCATCCGAAAAGGCGTCCATAGCCCGCGGCAGAGAGGGCGCCCCGAGCAGAAGAGCGGCGACACAGCAAAGGTTGACGAGAAATAGGGCACCTCCAGCAGAAGTTGGGCTCACCAAGCAGGAGAGCGACGCCCAATTGCCCATTCCCAGCACATGAGAGTCGCCCCAGCAGCAGATGGGCGCCCCCAGAAGCGCCCATGTTAGAATTAGTTAGAAGCGTTAGTTAGAAGCGCCCATGTTAGACCATGTTAGAATTCCGCCCCCAGAAGAGGCGCGTCTTATTACAAGAATAAAAAGATACCCTCTGTTCAAGAGGGGCGCCCCTGGCAGCGGAAGGGCACCCCCAGCAGAAGAAAGCACCCCTGAAGAGGAGCGACGCCCCAGCAAACGGAGAGAGGCGCCCCCATTCCGAGAAGAAGAGGGGCGCCCTGACAGCAGATGGGCGCCCCAGCAAAAAAGGAATAAGAAGAAAATGGGTGCCACTGGCAGAAGAGGGGCGCCCCCGGCAGCGGAAGGGGCCCAGCAGAAGAGAAGGGTCTGGCAGCAAAACGGGCAAAACTGAACCTGAGAAAAGCGAACGTCGACTAATTCTAACATGCGATTTCTTCCCGCTAATTTCCATATGTGCGTTTTGGAACTAGATATTAGAACAGTGGTGATTTCATGCTGTCGAACTTGTATTGCAACGTTACGTAGGTAGGGGAGAGTGGGGCACATTCGTGCATGGGGCACATTCGTTTTCAGCAGTTAATGGGAACACGAGTGACTGCACGAGCTCAAGGTAAATTATGGAAATATGTCTATCATTGCCGCCCTTCGTTCACCGTAGAAGACAACACTGTACAGTGTACATGCTGTCATGCTTGATAAAAACGCAAATTTGTAATATTCGTGAGCTTTCCAAACTTTTCTCATATTATCCATTTTCGTGATCCTGACTCGGAAATGTGGTTCAGCTTTTCAAAATTGGGGGTGAAGAAGCTCACTCTATTCACGGAACTGCTGCAAACTTGTTTGTTGAAAAAGTGTCATTTTTTCAAAAAGAAATTTTGAAATTTTTATTGTATTACGTATTAAGAATTATTTGTATATTTGTATAATATTTGTATTAAGAAATTTTGTATATTACTAATAACGTTGTGGGGCAGGTTCGTGTACGCACTGCCTGGGGGCACATTCGTGCATATTTTTTTTTTTAGTTTTTGCGATTTATGACTTTATCTGTAGTAGGTTTCTCTAATGACGCTCGCCTGACTCAGTCTCGACTGCTTGCGACGTCGTGACGAGCAATTCACGCGAACTTGGCGAGGTCACGGAGGCCGGCAGTTGGCACATTCTTGTTGGCCAGCCCATTCTTTCTACATATGTTGTGCAATGCATTCTTGTCGAAAGGAATCAAGTGAAATGACCCCCTGCCAATTTCCTTTGGTAAATTTCTGGTAATGCCCGGTAATTTCTCGAACTTTGCAGGGTGAACGGAAGTGCCCCACCTCTTGAACGAATGTGCCCCATAGGTGGGGCAGTTTCGTGCAAATGTTCAGAGTTATTAAAAGTCATTTTTTCTAATGGAAGCAATAATTTTAGAGGATAACTTTTAAAGAGGAAAACTATCTGCAATAGTTCCTTTCCATACTACAATCAACAATTTTGCCATTGCACTAACCAAAGAACAGATATATGGGTTTATCCATTTTTTGCACGAATGTGCCCCACTCTCCCCTATAATCAGCATGGAAGGAACCGTACTCGATTATAACCTCGGCAACAGTGAAAAACAAAGTTTCCCCTAAATTCGTCGACACTGTGTCCCATCGTACTGACAGTAGGTGCTTGCTGCCACCAGTGACGTCATCGTAGTACGTTCATTTTTAAAGACGAAATTTCCAGGCACCTACCTGGTGTGCACAATTTGAAATCGAATATTTTTCGGTAAGAAATTCTTAGCCAGACGCTGAAGCTGCCAAAACTCACGGGAGAGCTTCGATAATGAACTTGGAGCCTGCGTCCTTTTGAAAAAAAAAACTATAGTCGAAATGTCACTTAGCCTAAATGTCAATTCGCCTAAATGTCAATTTTTCGAAATGTAAATTTGCCGAAATGTGATTCCCCGAATTGACATTTTCCCGAAATTTCGATAAGTCGAAATGTAAATTTGCCGAAATGTTGATTATCTAGTTAAAATATAAATTTGCCGAAATGTCATCTGCAAACCCAGGGTGTTTCACTAAAAGTGTCAAAAAGTAAATGCTTATTAAAGATATATAGAATATGCAAATCACGTGACTGCGCACGTGGCTTTGTTGCAAATTTTTGGACATTTATTATTTATCCATTTAAGATATATTTTACACTCATACGGAGCGAGGGCAGGAGGCCAAAGTTACTGGTCATTTTTTCCTTATGCAGAACAAGAACAGGTTATTTACACCGCAACAGGACGGGTGAATTACACTTACATTTGGTGCCATCAGAAACATTGAAACCGTATGCCGACTTTTCAGGAAACTTTTTACTCTCTCACCTCGCTACGTTCCAGATTATAAAAGTTTCAAAGGGCTTGTTGAGAGGAAGGGTTCCTTCGATGCCGGTTCCAGTCCAAAAAAAGCGGGGTTGCCCCCACCTCTCGGCGGAAACCGTTGAGAAGGTCAGGGTCTTTTTGAGGGCCTTTGAAGATAACAAGAAGCTAATTCCAACATCAGAAATAGCCAGGGCCTTACAAGTTATTAAAATCAACCACTGTAACGGCTGTAGCCACCAGGAACTGACTGGACCAGAAGCTCCTGGGCCGAATAATCAGCTGCCTCGCCGCCCGTCCCTGGCCAGCGCGAAACCCCGGGCCCGATCTGTCACCGCGCTAAGCCTCTGGTTTGGTCAGTGACTCAGTAGCTCTCGCAGAGCTGAGGAAGACTCAAGTCGCATCACTTCGGGAGCTGAAGAGCACAATTCAAGGCTTTGCCGACAGTCTGGACGCTGAAGATGAAAACGGGCTGTGAGGCACCTCCGGACACGTGCCGAAACGGTGCATCAAAAGAAGGGGCAGATGTGTGGAATAGGTTTGAGTGACTGTGATATCGTTTTTATATATTCAAATGTCCAACAATTGCGGATGAAATGATATGCAAATTTCCTTAGAAAACATTGTTATTATGTGCATTATGACCTTTTACTTTTTGACACTTTTAGTGAAACACCCTGTAGGTTAGATTAGGCTAGGTGGTATTTATTTTCTTTAGGACCGATCAACAATTTACTCTTGGTGCGATCCCAAAGTAAGAAGCAAATCACATGATATCCTTTGACCTCCTTATTTCATATCTGATAATTATTCATGGCACAAACAAGTTTAAAAGCACCAATGCAATATGGAAATAAACATCAACATTCAAATTGCTCGTCGCGAAGTAGTGCAGTTCCGAAGGCAATGCCCTAGGATAGATTAGGGCAAGATTAGGGCAAGGAGAGGTAACTTCGTAAAATCCTTAACTTCGTGATTCGCAATTTCGAAGAAATCTAAAAATTTGCAGCGCAGTCAACCATCTCATCCTGTGGGGCTAGGGCACTAGGCGGAGTGACTTTTTGACAAGCAGTTGTCCCTCCTTTGGTTTATATGGTATAACCTAAAATGTATTGTATAATGTATTTTTTCGAGGACAATCTTTTTCTGGGTTTAGGGGAAGACGGGAACACCGACCCCCTTAAGCTGGGGGGATCCATGTGATCGCAAGGCACATCGCAGTTGCGATCAAACGTAAGTTGAATCGGAACAGATATTGGAGGGATCCATCACATCGTAGGCTAAGTAGATACGCAAGTTGTATCGCAAATGCTGAAGATACGAACTAACTTTACGAATCTTCTCGGTCGATCGGAAGGCCGATCGTAGCGAAGCTTTACCTCTTTCTCAAGAGAAAAATATAAGAAATTTTCAAAATTTTCACAAAACCGAAATATATGTTAAACAAATATGGTTGATGAACACGTGTGCAAAATTTGAAGTCCATTTCTTCAAAAATGGCTGCGCTAGAGCGTTTTAAATTTACACGTTGAAAACGGTCACTTTCACGTCATTTATGTAATTTTTTTTCAATTTTGAAATTTAAAAAGTGTTTTGGGCAATTTTTCGCGTTAATTGCGAAAATCTGACCAAAACATGTATCGCACCATCAATTATCCGATACGCCATCAGAGGCCGCGCCGCGGACAGGTGGGCGCGGCGATACCTAGGCCGCGTGGGGGTTACACTGGTGTTCGGGAAGGGCTATGTCAACTTGAGGCTGGCCGCGGGGGAGCCGGTTGCGGCGCCGGTCCGTATTTGCCGGCGCCTAACAGTGCAGCGGTGCGTTTATGGCGGAGGGAGGGGAAGCGGTGTAGTGTCGGCAAGGCCGCACACAGGAGAGGGCACACGGGCCTCCCCCCCATTCGAGTTGGGGCCCCTAATCTTTAGACCGCCGAAGACCATGTAAAATGAACTGAAATAATGATTGAAAAGACCGGGAGGGCCCATCTCGTTCCCCACCAGGCCCATACGAGTCCATAAATGCCCAGTAGCGCAGCCAGGGGTATTGTGGTGAAAATTTCAATGGCCCTCAAAAGACCTCAAAGGGCCCACAGATGGGGTCACCGGGTCCTCAGATGGTCTCGAAGGGCCCTCGGTTGGC